CCAGCCTGGTCTACATAGTGAGTTCCAGGTCAGTCTCAACCACATAGTGAGACCCTGTCTCAAAAAAAAAAAAAAAGAAAAAACAAAACAAACAAATTTTAAAAACATAAAAAAGAATCCCTTTGTGGCTTGCTTTATTTCCTGATGAAATGATTCCTTCAGAGTATTAAAAAATGAAATATTCTGTGACACTCTGACCTGCTGTGTTGAAATATTTTGGGAAGATGCATGATAGTTTGTAGCTTTTGAAATATTGAAAGACTTGCTGGGATGACAAGAAGCGTGCTAATCCAAGTGTGCTAAATTGTGGGTAGCAGAACAAAGAGGTGGCTCACATCTGGCTGATACTAACATTCCACTTAGTCTAATTTCAACCTATGCAGGTGAATGAACATAAAATACACATAGCTTTAAAACATGTAAATGAACTAATGAATTAATTATAAACAGAGATTTCTGTAGAAAAGCTAGAGAAGTTCTTTTGATGAAGTTTTAACATATTCGTGTGTCCATACTGCTATAAATAAATGATTAAATAATTGTAAACATAGCAAAGGCTAGACATCCCCATGCATAACTCCCAGTAGCTTAAGCAGATCATTATGCCCTCAAGGAGGTGGCTCACCACTTCCCACTTCTTAAATGTGGGCTGCTCCTAGTGGCTTCCTTCCAAAGAATACAGCGGAGAAAGCTAGAAAAGAATAATTTGAAAATACCAAATAAATCTTATCTCGGTCGATGTCCAAAGTCAACGTGATGATGATGGTTTGCTGGTAGGTTTTACCCTTGATATGATGTACTGGGGGGAAACTATACTTCCCCACTCTTCAGACAAAACACTCACAAACCCAGGCTAATCATGAGAAAAATATTAAAATGATACCAGTTAGGAGATGGTCTATGGAATTCCTTACTGGTGTGGTATACCCTCAATCTGTTATGGCCTACAAATCAAGGAAAATCTGAAAAATCATCAAGTCAAGGGGAACCCAAAGAGACATAAAGACTAAATGGGATGTGGGGTACTTGCCAAGATTGTGGGGCAAAGTAGAAAGGTAGCCAACTAGTGCATGGTACTATTTCATAGATATTGGTTCTTGCCTACACTATACTAAAGTAGTATGTTTCTAACAGGGCCACTTGGTGTGAGTCATACTGTAAGACTTTATGATGGCAGGGAAAGCTGGGAAAGTCAGTGGACCAAGATGGCCCTGAGTAGTCACGGTTGAAGCGAATACTGAGGACTTATGCTCTTTACTTTTGTTTATGCTAGGAATTGGCTAACATAAAAGGTTTTTAGAAACATAAAAAAATAAAAATTCAGACAAAATTTTCATAACAGGATCTTACTAGCCTAAAGTTCAGTATCTTACATATTGTTTGGTAATTAAGGAGTCAGCCCCTATGCAGAAGCTCCAATTCGAACATTTTAGACTATTTTCACAATTCCAAAAGTTGCGTAAATCATTTTGTTTTCTTCATGACTTTATTTCTTCGATATTTTTTTCCTCTTCTTACACAAAGACAGTGATGGTTTTATGATTCAACTTCATTCAACAGATTCCTCAAGCAGAAAGTGTCCAAGTTATCCTGTTCATTTGATGCCAGGCTTAATTAGTAAAAGGTGCAGTGGACAGGGAATAGCAGAGTCATAGGTGAGGGAGGCAGAACCCACAGATCCGGCTTCTGTAGTCATCCTAAAACAGAGATCTCTAAGCCCACTTCACTGGGAGGACAGTGGCCTTGTGTCCCCAGGAGCTGCCAAGATCTCACTTTCCTCAGCAGAGTACAGGGATGCAGGAAAGCTCTGGTCACCCAGTTGATTATCCCTGAAGCATTCTGAGCTCAAGAACAATCCTCTTTCGCCATTCTGAACCATGACTTTTAAAGAGCATTTCAGCATCTGAGAACACAACCTGAAAAACAATGAAATTTTTAGATCAGCCTTTGGAAGCTATGTAATTCTGGGTTCATTGTGATGGATACAAATGAATAACAAAATATTCCACTCCCGGCTGGTTGTGTCTGTGTTGATACTTATTTGATAGTTTCACTTTGAAATGGTTGATCATTTTATTAAAAAAAAAATAAAGCTGTAATCCCAAATTGATGTTATTCTAACATGTGCGGCTAAGACGAGACAAGATCAGTTTTGAAAAGCCCGTGATATTTGGGTGTACCGTGCATTCCTTCATCCCTCCAGCCATTAGTTCAATGATTATTTATTAAATGTATGAATGTTAAGTCATTATCTTGTCCTGGAAATACAAGAATGAATGAATCCAAATCAACCCCTGCCTTCATGAAGCGTACATGGTAAATAGAACTTATGAATACAAATGTGATGATTTGAAACATAGCAATCTAAATGGATGTTAATGAGAGACTTTTGAAGACTTTAATGTTATCTGGATTTTTGCTAATGTATAATTCAATGAATATTTAGTGCTATAGGAAAATAAGATACTTCATAAATATAATCACTCAAACATTTAAAAATCTTAATCCTGTTATTGTGTCAGTAAATTTGCTATTTTACTCCAAAAGCTACAAGGCCCGCCGTTTACTCTTGTTGCTACTTTGTCTTCTAAATGCTGTGTTCGCAAGACTGAATATGGCATGATTCTCCTCTCCCTGGAAATCAATAGGAATTCTGAGCCTATAGTGCAATTTCAGTATTACTTTTAGACAATTTTGGCCTTGTGTGCACATTACAAATTCTGTAACATCTCAGAAAACTTTGTGGAACTAATATGTTTAATTAAGAACACTAGACAAATTGAGACTGTGTCCTCTCTACCCAAATATCACCACACTGCATTAAAGGAATGAAAAATACATATTAAAATATCAATATGTAATCATTCTCTTATGAGCATATAAAAATAAGGTTTCTAGCATCCATTGCCACCTTACAGGTTATATCTATCTATATCTATTTAAATTTTATTTATTTATTTATTTATTTATTTATTTATTTTGGTACCAGGGATTGAACACGGGTCCTTGTGCTTGCAAGGCAGGCCACCGAACTGCTGAGCTAAATCCCCAGCCCTAAATTTTATTTCTTAGTTTTATTATTATACGCTTGCCGTACATAATGAGTATATTCATTGTGGGGATAATTTTATGGAACGACTTTCTTCACGAATTTCACTGTTGAAATTGTTGTCATTGATTAAAATTTTTAAGAAATAAAAAAAAAAATGGACTCATTATCTAGAATTACCACTGGTCATTCATTCTACACATATTCTTTGGCCCCTAATCTGTCCCAGATGTTGTTCTAGATGTTGGGAATTCAGCAGTAGGCAAAAGAAACAATATCCTGCTCTTGATAAGTGGTGTGTCAGACAGTAAAGTGGGAGAGCTAGAGAGAAAAGGAAGGCGCCAGAGGAGCAAAAGGACCGTGGAAGAGAGAAGGGAGAGAGAGTGTACCTAAAGTAGGTGTAGTGGACACAGAGGTCATCCGGGGACCTAGGAGAGGCAGGGAGCTCCCTGAAGACATGGGGGAAGCACTTTTGAGTGTAGGGATCCACAGAGTGAGCACTGGGTAGGAGCATGATGGGTGTGCAGCACAGCTGGGGACAGACAGCGGCAGGAGGTGGGGCCTGAGAAGATGCAGGGCCAGACAGTGGCCATCCTTACACACCGTGCACATCTGGGTTCCTGCCTGAGCCAAAGCAGAGGCATTGGAGGGCTACAAAGAGAAGATTGCTCTTTCTTCTGTATAAAACAGCCTCTGAAAAACCACACGTGCATACTGCTTATTCGGTCTGACACAAAGATCTTTTTCTGCTAAACACAGTCCTGGCAGTCTGTTCAGAGTGCTGATCCCATTTTCTGAAAGTGACAGAAAAATTAAACATGACACATGGGCATACATTGCTCTATCTAGACAATGCTAGCAATCAAAGTAGTTATATTTTGATCTTACCAGGTGTCGGTACTCGGATTAGGCTAGGCCTCCCATTCTGTTGTGGCTGACATCATTTCCATGAAAAAAAACAAAAAACTGTCTGTCTGTCTGTCTGCCTGCCTGTCTGTTGTCTGTCTCTCCACCTACCTATCCACATATGCATGCACACAGTCTTCTCCCTCTCTCAGGAGGCGTTGCATTTGTGGTTCCAGTCATGTTCAAAGTCACTTTTAAAAGCATCAGTACTGTTATTACTCTCTGATGAGTACAACACTCCCATGGCACAGTCACCTTCCAAAAGATCTACTATGTCTGCACACATGGGCCTTAGTGGGACACTCTAGTTCTGAACTGTATGTAACAATGATGTTGAGATGGCCACATATAGCTGCACAATCTGCCCAAGTGCAAGGACCAGAGTTCAATCCCAGGCATAAAAAATACCCAAAAGTAATCATCTAATAAACATTATAGCAGATAGCAATGAACACCGTAAATAACTGACTTCTAGAAAATAGTTGGAGGAAATTAAAATCAAAGAAAACTTTTCTTCTATTTGGTTTCAGAACTAACATATGTAACAACATATTTTAAAGAAACCTTAATTACATATAATATAAACATATATTAATAATTGCAGAATTCAGCCTTAAAAGTAAAAAATGTAATAAAGAGCCTTCACATCACAGAAATGTCACAGTAGGGATAATCATGCATCTATTAAAGACACTACAGTGTCCATAAATTGTAGAAACAGAAGATGTTTTCAAAAATGCATTTTCTGTGAAAAGGTAAAATACATTGTACATCTTTCTGAACATTACGTAATAACTGAATGCCTAAAATTTTGTTAACATCATTTCATAGAAAATTCTCAAGATGGTTAGCTAATTTATATTTGTAACAGTGCTTTACCTGTACCAATTTATTTACAGTAAAATTGTTGAATTAAATGAAAATGTAATTATTTGGATTTTTACTATACTACTTGCTAAAAATCCCAATACATGTAATGCACAAAATAGGTTGTAATTTCAGGGCTTAATTAATCATATTTGTCTTTATTTGTGTTATTTTATAGCCCCCTCTCCAGTCACCAACGTGAAAAAGGGGAAGATTGCAAAAAACAGCATCTCTTTATCTTGGCAAGAGCCAGATCGCCCCAATGGAATAATCCTGGAGTATGAAATCAAGTATTTTGAAAAGGTGGGGCAAACAGAATAAAATCAGTCTGCCTTTCTGCCTCTTCCTTTCTTTCTTTCTTTCTTTCTTTCTTTCTTTCTTTCTTTCTTTCTTTCTTTCTTTCTTTCTTTCTTCTTTGTAGCAACTGCAAATCCAGTTTGTACAAGAGTATGTTGCAATTTTATGTACAGATCAATAAGAATCCATTCTGGAGTCCTGAGTGTGCAGGCTGGGTGTGTACAGGGAACACTGTACATGTTTGGGCTATATATAGATCTTAGATGAAGTAAAATTTAACAGCAGGAAACTAAAAGTTTGAAAAATAATTATTTACCTGTACTGTTTTCATTTTGTTGAATCAATAGCTGGAACAACAAGTGAATTTCTTTTTTTTTTTGTCATTAAGGAAATCATCATTTTTCTTTTTTCTTCCTTATTAGTAACTCAGATTATTTTTACTACTCCTCAACATTTGCAAAATATTCAGTGGGAACCTGGAGTTTTTAAAAAATTGCTGCTTCTGTTAGAACAGTTACAAGTGGTATGGCAGATTCCTTTTGTTAATGCTTCCTCCAGTGAATTTTATCCATGTTGTTGTGGAATGATTTTCTGTATGGATCAAATTCTTTTTGAATTACATTCATATCAACATGATTTGGTCTTATATTTACTGCAGCATTAAGTTCTGTGATTTGTGTAACTTACAGCAAGAAAAAAGGATTTGGGAACAAAAGTATCGGTAATGTTTTCAATAAATTAATAGCAAGTAGCTATGTTCATGCTTTAAAAGCACCAAAATATTTGCGGCATATTATTTTGATAGACATTAAATTCTTTGTGAGTGTTTTCTTTTTGCAATGAAGATGTTAATTCCAAGGACTTTTCACCACAACAAAGCACTGAACATACCAATATAATATACAGAGAGATTTGTGTAACACTCTTAGGGGAAAAAATGACAATAAGCTGTTATACCACATATTGAGGCAGGGGTCTTGATGGGTTTCCAGAGCTCATTTACAACACGAAGAATGACACCGCTATTTTACTGTCTGGCTGGGGGCCAGACACAGGTAGCAGAGCTTGCAGACACATGTGTTTGCCAGCTGGCATCCCTGCCTGTGCCGGCCCTGCTCTAGCGGAGGTCACTGGGCTTCTTGCTCCAGTGCGGTGATGGGCCTCCAGCCATCTCTTAATTAAAGGCCAAGGAGAAGGGAAGCTGCCTCTTGGCAATGGATGCCAGCTGGCTCATCTGCTGGGCCCTCCCCTTGCTCCCTGGGAGCTGTGTTTGCTAAGCAGCTGGGAAATACAGCTCATTTGCTCAGAAGGGACAGGAAAGAGCAAGAGCCACTGCCTTGCCCAATGATTTGGTAGCCAGGTGGTGGTGGGCATTGAAGAGGTGCATATAGGGCTCATGATATGAAAAAAATTACAATAAGTGATTTTAAAGAGGAGGAAAAGAAATTGGTTTTAGAAAATACTTAAATTGTTCACAATATATATTCATTGGTTTTGTTGTTAGATACACGCTTTGTTAAATTTTCTTTAATAATACTGTATTTGGCTAACTTAGCAAGGCAATGTACAGTTTGACTTTAGATAATCAGTGAGCTATTATGTTAATTCTTAACTATAGAGGGAATACTGACTTTTTGTGGAACTGATAACTAGATCACACATTATTTCATAGGTCCGCACTCTGATTCCCTTGATAATTTTCCCCGTTTGTGGCAGAAGTAACAATTTGCAGTATTTTTGCATAATGAATCCACTGTACCTTCAATAGATAGTATTTCAATCATTTAAGCTTTTAAAACTTGTTTTAATTTTTTCCCTTTCCATTGGAAAACTTTACTATGATCCTAGGAAATAGCAATAAATCAAAATTTCCAGGGATCTATTATGTTGTGAAGAATGCACATAATGCAGTGCATATCATCTTTAGATTATCTCCTTTCAATTGTTTTGATAGTTCCATAACTATTTTAAAGAAAAAAAACTAAAGTCTCAAGTATTGTATCAACATTTAAACACATACTTTATGATACAGCTAGAATTCTAACACTGTTACTCCTGTGGTCTTTTTTGAAAATCCCTTCTATTTTGTTTTATAAATGTTAATATTTTATGTAAAACTAATGGTTATAACAAAAAATATGTGTGTGTGTGTGTGTGTGTGTGTGTGTGTGTATATATAT